AATTGTACAATTAAAACCGTGACTCATAATAGTTGTTCAGACGTGTGCTCTTTTGCAGCACAAGCCGTTTAATTTAATACAAAGTGCATGTAGTGGTAAAATTTACCCAACACTTTTTTTTTATTGTTTCTCAGTTTCAAGGTTGTTGCTTTTTTATTTTTTTATTTTACTCTGATTCTCAACTTTTTTCCAGAAACGCTGCCGGTAAATGTTCCCGTCGTCTCACTCAGCCGTCGCCTTCAGAGACTGTGTGTGAATCGTCAGCTTCTGTTACCAGATTTATCTATTAACTAGGATTAACTCTGAGAAACAAACACACTGTGGTGTGGCAGTAAATCTTCTTGATGGATATTTTGTCTCAGGCACTGAGGTGTGAAATGTGATTATCAACATTAGCCTTTCCTAATGGCGTCAGCCTGAAGTTCTGTGTTTCTCAGGTTCTGTATGATTCAGTAGCTTATTAAAGCTTGTTGTCAGTTTGCTTGATGGTTTTGGACACAGGCTTTGTTTATTTCTTTCATCTGTGCATCGCCGGGACTTCCCTTTGCCTCCGCGTGCTTCTAGCATTATTAAAGGCATTAATCTCTGGCATTTGATGCCTTGTTACGACACCGTCCTGCTCCCTACATGCAACACGAAACACATAAATTTACAGATAATCTGGTGTCGAGTGCCATTCGCTGCTGGAGCCTGAAACTATGCAAGACGTTGAATAGAAAATTAAATTTCAGCTCAATTTTCGTGAAGATATCTGTATTTTAACCACAGGTTGATTGCTTTTTTCTGTTGATCAAATATTAACATGCTTCAGGCGAGGCACGAGCCGACTGTGGTCCGTGAACGTGTGATGACGTGCTTGGAAATGTTTTTAATTGGTGCCGGTGGAGTTTTCTTGTAAACACGCTCAACGATGCACTCGGTGTACCCTTGAAGTCTAGAAGGCGTGTTTAATGGCTCAGAAAAACTTTTCAAAGCATGTTTTACTTGAGATGTTTTAAATCCCCCACTCTGTTGATTGTGGTCTTCAAACGTGCAGCTAAACTATAGCTTATGTCGGCTTCTTACTTTCATGTGAAGGTTAGCCGATGAGGTGAAGCGAACTGACCAAATTTCTGTTCAACATCTGTAAAACTAACTAAAAGCTATTTACGTTGGTTTTAGGCTCAGTTGGCTCTGGCTTCCATCTTGAATTAAGTTTACTCCAAAGATTTATCAGATAACTTTCTTGGGTTTTATTAGTTTTTGTCTTGTTGTTAAAGAATTAGTTTAGTAATGAGTAAATAAATAATTGTCAGCTTGACCTTACATCAGTGAGCATTGTTTGAGTTTTCTGCTTGTCAGGTGAAAGATGATTGATCGGTTGGTTGGTTGAATGATTGGTTGGTTTGTTAGTTGGTTGGTTGGTTTGTTTATTGGTTGGTTCGTTGGTGGGTTTGTTAGTTGGTTGGTTGGTTATTTGGTTGGTTGGTTCGTTGGTGGGTTTGTTAGTTGGTTGGTTGGTTATTTG